TTTTGGTTAGCTAAACGTATCTATTTCTAGTCGAATATTTTTATGAAAAAGGGATTTTCATGCCGAAACCTTCAACGAGTGGRTGGACGAGGAATTTACTGCGTCATAACTTACATAAAAGAGTACTCACACGAGTTTTATATTAGTTTATTTATAGTTCCTTTCACGGTTTCCGACGCCATATTGTTTGGGGGGCAAATTTACTAAGAAGCGTAGGGAAAGAGATAGGTTTTTCATAATATTTCCATTCTGAGGTTACCCTGCGAGCAAAGTCTCCTTTACCTTCCCCCGAGTGAGAGAAAGGAAAGAGTTTTCTTGCCTTTCTCTCACTCGGGGGAAGGTAAAGGAGACTATGCTCGCAGGGTATTCTGAGGTAAAWTTTCGAGACCAAACTTTATCTGTAGATGGAGAATCTTCTGTTCAATAATGTTTTGTGTGGTGTTTTTGAGCCGATGGAGCCACCATAACACTGGTTCTCAGAAAGACGGAGGCTTGCTTTGGGGTTTGCGACCAAGACTCGTTTATGCTGGTTCAATTTGACCGTAAAAAAATATTCAAACCGAGTCCACGGACTTTCTTCTGTCTTACAATGACTAAATCCCAAATAGTCTTCTACTCTATTCAAAGTACCCAATGTGCCCAGCATATTTGACACGTTTTCCCGTGTCAAAACTTGTTATTTTTGAAGTATATGTCTCTGGGTTTTTTACCTTTCAAAAGTTATTTATTATGGACACCGATGTGCAGTGGATAACCGATGGGATCAGTTATGGATGGGATTATTTGACAGCCATTCAGACTCAGTGTTGCATGCAAACATGCATAATCTATCTCTACTGAGGGAGTTTTATATTTCTGCATATTTCCCAACACGTATATGATTTAACAAGTTCTTTTTTCGACTGGTTGTCTTCCTTCTTTCTCTTGAAAGAAATAAAATACTAAACCATTTGTTGTATGTCTCCCTGGCAATTCGTTCAACTGAGCCACTTGATCCTAATCTCTCTAAAAGACTTCACGTTTTACCTTCTTTTGTATTTAAGATCATCCTGAGGGAAATCCGTAAATGATAAATGGGTGGAAAATATCAACGGCTTGCCTCTGAAGCCGGATCCAAGACGTTAAAAGCTGGTCTTCTCTCCTATCTTTTCTTTACCTGGTTAAATGGGATCCTGAAACTGGGATACCAGCGACCTCTAACTGATGACGATCTGTTGGAGCTGTCTGACGAAAACAAGGCACAAGATCTAGTGGCCAAGTTACACGGGTTATGGATGGAAGAGATTAACTGCGCTAAGAAGAGAGGCAGGAAACCCCGACTTTGGAAGGCCATGTTCAAACTATTCCTTCGAGATGTCCTTCTCTTTACCGCTTTGAAACTGATAGATGAAGCCATGGGGATAACTTTGGTAGTATCAGTGTGGTTTTATCTAAAGTTCTTAGAAGAAGGATCCCACATGGATCAGACCTACGCTGTTGGTATAGTTGCTAGCATTGGGATTCCAAGTCTGATTAAGGTGTTCTTCTATCATCATTCTGATTACTTGGCTGTGTTGATGGGTGTGAGGTTGAAAAGTGCTG